CCCATTATCCTGCGCAGCCATAGGACCTAATAGTACCTTTTTATGTATTGAGTTAGCATAAGTCTACACACAGGGCCATTCATAGTTCATTACCCACAGCTCTCTTGGAGTTCATTGTCATGTGTTAGCTGCTCCGGGCCACCCTGTGAGGAAGTGAGAGTTTCTCAGCTCTGCCCCAGGAGAAGTGGGGGTGTGTGTCGGGGGTGGGGTGGATGCTGATGGGGAAAGGAGATTGCAAGCCTGGCCCTGAGCCCTTCTGCTTGCTGTGTCTCTGCAGCTTGTCCCAGAACAGCATCACCGATGTGGGTGCCTGCAAGCTCGCTGAGGCCCTGCCCTCCTTGGCTGCGTCCCTCCTCAGGCTCAGGTGAGTGGGTTCTGCCAGGGTCGGGCACCGAGCCAGTGGGCTGGGGGAGAGCACAGAGTTCCCTTTGTGCCAGCTGCAGAGTTGCACGCTGGGGCCCTGGGAGCATTCACTACAGGTTGTTCTGCTGCATCAGTCTTGCACAATTTCAAGGGGTGGGAGGTTGTCTTAAAATCTAGTAGGAATACAATTTCCTGGCGCTGGGCAATGCCTCGTTCTTCATCTGGAAAGTAGGTACCATTCCAGTGGCCTGTGGAAAGCACTCGGTGCAACGAATGCCTGGTCCTGGTGCACAATAAATATTAGTCCTCTTCCCCCAGGGAATGGTGGGATTGAGCTTTTTCTAAGTCCAGGGGTAGTGATTTCTAGAAGGCTGACCACCTTCCAGCAGCCCTGGCTGGCTTCTGCCACTTACACACGCACCAGTCAGTGCCTACACTGCCATCTTCTGGTAGGCCTTGGCATAGCACCTCTTTTAGTACCAGGGGCTGAGGGAACTGAGCTTAGATGGGAGCCCTGGCCATTCAGCTCAGCGTTGCCAGCTCTCTCCTCTTTTACCAGGCTGCGGGGGAACTTCCCTCTTCTTCTCTAACCCTCATCACCTACCAAGGACAGCCAGAGTCAGATTCCCCAGGGAGATGGCATCTGGTTCATTTAGTTATCTATGTATCCATTCTTTATCCTTCCATTCTGGGCCACCACGTGTAGCTGTTTAGGCTGTGTATTCTGCACAACTCTCGAAGATCGGCATCTTCGAGAGTTGTGCAGGGCGTCTTGTGTTCTCTGACATCAGCCGTGGGACAGAACCTGTGCTAGGAACTAGATACAACTACAGACAAAACAGATGTGGTTCTTGCTTGCTTTTTTTTTTTCTTCTTCATAATAAGTAAGCATATGCATAAATAAAATATTTCAAAATAGTGATTCATGCTCAGAAGGAGACTAACAAGGGCCCAGGGGGTAGAATAGGGAGTATGAACTCACGGGAGAGGTCAGGGGACCTCTGAAGAGTTGACCCTTCCCCGTCTATGGGAAGCTATAGGGGGAAAGCATTCCAGGAAGAAGGAGCAGCAGATACAAAGGCCCTGAGGTGGGAAAGAGGTTAGGTCTTTGAGGGCTAGAAGGGCCTCTGTGGCTGACTACAGTGGGTGAGGGACAGAGAGTGGCAGATGATGGGGGAGAGGTAAGTGAAGGCCAGATTGTGCTGAGAGGCCCTCGTAGGTCGGGGATGGGGTGAAGTTTTTCTTCTGTGAATGATGAAGTGGGTGGAGTGTATGGAGGTGACACCTGACCTGATTGACTCTTTAGGAAACCTCATATTTCATGGAGTCTAAGATGCTGTCCTTGTAAGATATTATTAAGAGGACAAAATGCTGCTAATTATACTATGACACTCCATGGATTATTAGACAGATCCTGATCTCAGTGTTATTTAAAGACGAACACGTGCATCTCAGCATTAATGAAATAGAGGGAGAATCCTCTGCCTGGGGTGGGGAGGGGCCTCCTGAGTTCTAAGACCCACCCCAGGAAGAGATTACAAAGCCCCCTCCTGGTGCCTGCCCTGGTACTAGCCAACTTGTGACATCAGGGGATGCTGGAGTGTAGCCCAAATCCACTTTGCTGCAGTGTAGACCTGCTGCTTTCACATGCAGCCCTGCAGTCTAGCCCTGAGGCTGTCATGGCAAAGTCATAGCCTTGAAATGAGAACTGTGGCAGCACCTGGCTCATTGAAAGCATGCTCAGTGATGAGTGTACAGCTTCAGTTAGCATCAGCAACACCCGTTGAGCTATTTTCAACACTGCAAATGGTGGTTGTGAATATACCACAGAAACCCGAGCCGGCTCGTGATTGGGCTTTTCTCTCTTCTTTATCACATTTAACTCCCATAAAACTGCCCGGGGTAGTAATAACCATAGTTAACATTTAGTATTAACTAAACATTCTACGTGTTTTATCAGCATTAACTCATTTGCGCCTTCTCAGAATTACTCTATCATGCTCATTTTATGGAGGAGCAAACTGAGTCACAGAGGAGTTAAGTAACTCACCAAAGGTCACATAGACCACGCGAGGCAGAACTGGGATTTGAACTCAGGAAGGTTCAGCCAGGAAGCTTCCTCCTCTTAGTCCTGTTGCTTCCTTGGACTCACTGTGTGACCACGGAGAAGCAGCCTCAACTCTCTGGGCCTAAGTTTGCTTCTCTCTAAACTGGGGCAGTGATCCCAGCAGGGCGTGGATTCCCCTGGGTCCTGAGCTCCTTCTCCCCAGCCCCCACCCTGACTTTTGTTTCCGGCAGCTTGTACAATAACTGCATCTGTGACGTGGGAGCGGAGAGCCTGGCACACGTGCTTCCAGACATGGTGTCCCTGCGGGTCCTGGAGTGAGTGTGGGAGCCTGCTCAGTGGGTGGCAGTGGCCCGGGACTTGGGGTTGCCGGGGTCTCTCTCCAGCATCACGGGAAGGAATGGGTGAGGTCTGGTTGTCAAGAACGTGGTGGTGGCCATGGTCTGGGCCTGGATGGTTGAGGGCCAGACCCCACAATGGGTTTCTCTCCCCAGTGTCCAGTACAACAAGTTCACGGCCGCCGGGGCCCAGCAGCTCGCAGCCAGCCTGAGAAAGTGCCCTCACGTGAAGACACTGGCGTAAGTCTCCGCAGCCCCGGTGGGCGGTTCCCTGAGCCCTGATCCTCACGGATGCATGACCTTGGGTGAGCGGTCACCTCACCCTCCGACATCAATTTCTTTGTCTGTAAAATGGGGGTGATGATGGTATAGGCCCCCAAGCAGTTTGGTGAGGTTTAAATTAGTCAAGATGTATAAAGCACTTAGAACAGTGTCTGTTACACAGAGTGCTGAATGTGTTAGGTTGAACAACATGAAATCGCTTATATAAGCCATTTTGACCTACAAAATTGGCAATTTCATGTGGCTCAAACTCATCGTGTTACCATGAAGTCTAATGCCCAATACTAGTACTTTATACTCTTTCAAAGCACTTTCATTTACATAATCACTCATTATCTTCTAAAAGGGACTTTACAGATGAGACGATAAGGTACAGAGAGTTTAACCAACCTTTTGGAGGTCACACAGCAAGTCAGCAGCAGAACCAAGTCTAAAGAAGGGTCTTAGGGTTCCTAGGCCTCTGCTGTCTCCGTGACCCCATACTGTCTGGTCCTGCCATGTCCCAGTCTGGGTGGGAGGAGAGATTTGGGGGCAGCTTCTGTCGGGGCTCCAGCCACAATCTCTCCTGTAACCTGGCCTCTGTGCCCCGTGTCCCCATCACAGGATGTGTTCGCCCACCATTCCGTTTGGTGTCCAGGAACACCTACAGCAGCTGGACTCCCGGATCAGCCTGAGATGATCCTGGCTGTGCCTGAGATAAGGTAACTGGTGTGGGCTTGGGAGGAGAGAGCCGCAGGGGCCGCCAGGCTCAGTGTCCTGGAAAGGCGGAATCCATAAAAGTGGGCAGGGCAACAGGTGGGATCTGGGTGACCACCCTTGGACCGTGCACGATCTAGGGCCATGCCCTGTCTCCGTAGGGCTCGGTGGAGGTGTCCTAAAGGCTTTGTGGCTTGGGCCCTGAGGACTCTCCCTGTGGTCAGACTTGGAGACTGGGGCAAAGACAGGGCAGGTGGGCTGTCCACATCCCACAGCCTCTTGGGGACTTCCAAGGCATCTGTGCTGCTGTTTCAGCTCGTTGTCCTCATAGGAACTTGCTCTATGAGTTTATTACCTCTTACTGTGCAGATGACTGTCCCCCTGCCTCCCTGCTCCCCGACCTGCAAGGTCCCCCTTCAAACCCTCTGCCCCCTTCTCCATTCCCGCCATCCCTTCTATCCCTGATCTTGACAACACTCTCTCCAAGTGTCCAGCTGCCCGCTCCTAGAGCTTTCTGACCTACCCACGCTCCCGACCTCCCACAGGACATTCTCGGACGCTGACCACGCTGGACCTTGAACTGGTCATTTGTGGACACAGCTCCTCTCAGGTCACATCCTGTGAGCCTCGGCATCCTGGCACCCAGCCACGCCTGCTGCGGAGAGGACCTAGGCCCAGCTCCAGGCTCCTTTGGGACTCAGGTCGATGCCAGCCCTGCTCAGCTGCTGCGTTCCTGGCAGACGGATGGGCGCCTGGTGGCAGCTGCAGTCGACCCAGGAGCCCTGATGCATTTTCCTCAGGACACTCCACATAGCCGTGGCCAGGCCAGAGAAGAGATGAGGGACTGAGGTGGCCACATCTCTGCCTCTCCAGGTCCCTGCCAGCCCGGGAAGAGAGCACTTCTCCAGGCTGCTGCCCCGCTGAAGATACTGGCGGGGAACCCCCACCTGTTCATTCTCAAGCTGGAACAGGCTGGGACTCTGTGGCAGCTGATCTGTGTCCATAGGACTCACTGTTTTGCACTAACTTTGTTTGCCAAGGCCAAAGCTGCGCTTGGCCAGATGCGCTGGACCTTAGCAGGAAACAGCTGACAGTACACTAATGGAGGAGGAGAGGGAGATGAGCCAGGACCGCATCTGCCTTTTTGCCTTCACTTCCTGTGTTTCTTCACTACATTATAAATGGCTCGTTTAATCGCCCAGGCAGGTCCAGTGTTTGAATTTATAGCACGATTACTGTTTGGGGATACCCACTCTTCTGGTGATCTAATGCATCACAAAGCACCCCAAAATGCAGAGGCTTAACACACACATTTATTCTGCTCACACACCCATCTTTTAGGCCGTGCTTGGTGGGGACAGCTTGTCTCACTTCACTCTGTCAGCTGGGGTCATCTGAAGGCTCATTCACTTGATGCTGACTGGCGGCCGGGGGCCTCAGTTTTTCTAAGGACCTGTCAGAGGGAGACCTCTCCATGTGGGTTAGTTTGGGCTTCCTCACAGCATGGTGGCTGGGTTTCAGGGTGGTTACCCCAAAAGGAAGAGAGCGATGGGGGACAGAGAGAGGGAAAGAACAGAGAGGAGTGGTATCTTTTTTGTCACCCAGACTTAGAAGTCACACAGCATCGCATCTGTCATATTCTTTGTCCAGTTTGACAGGGGCCATCATTCCTCCCTGTCCCCACCCCCACATGTACACACAGAGGCAGAGTCCGCCTCGGCTCAAATCCTATCTTTCTTTCTCTTTCTTTCTTTCTTTTCTTCCTTCCTTCCCTCCATCTCTCCTTCCCTCCCTCCCTCCCTTCCTTCCTTTTCTCTAACTACATACTTATGCTTTCATTTTCCTTTCTTTCTTACACAAAAGATAGCACAGCATATACTCTCTGTGTATTTTGCTTTTTATTTTCTTTAACAAGTAAAATCACTTCATAGAGATCCTCTTTATCTTTAAAAAATGGCTGCATGGTCCTCCACTGCGTGGATAGTTCATAGTTTTTTTAATATGTCTCCCAATGGAAAGACATCTTGGTTGTTTCCAATATTTTACTATTATAAGCAGTGCTGCAGTGGACGGCTGTGTGTATATGCTGTTTCACATTTTCAGGGTTAAATCCCAGAAAAGAGATTGCTAGGTCAATCAAAGAGTAAGCACCAATTTTGTTAGATATTATCAAATGCCCCTCTGTAGGGGTTGCACCATTTTGTACTCCTACTAGTGACATATGAGAATGTGTTTTTTTCCCCATCTTACTTTTTCCCTAAGTTCTGTCAGACTTCTGAACTTTTGTCAGTCTCATAGGTGACATGGTATCAGTGTAGTTGCAATTTGTATTTCCCTTATGAGTGAAGATGAACATATTTTCATATTTATGGGCCATTTATATATATTTCTCTATGAACTCTCTGTTCATGTCTTTTGTCTATTTTTCTATTTTTTATTCTCCTTGATTTTTAAGAGCTCTTTATATATAGGGAAGATTTCTGTATCTCTTGATCCCAGTTTTCTCCATCCACCCTGCCCTGTAACCTTATCTAGTTCTAACCTTATCTAGTTCATATCATTTCTTACTTGGATTAGAACAATTACCTTCTAAAACTGATTTCCAGGCCTGCACTGTTGGCCTTCTCTAATTTATTCTTTACACTGTCACCAGAATGATCTTAAAATGTAAATCTCATCACAGCTTCGCCTCCATTGAATGGCTTCCCCGCCCATCCCCCCTCCAACCTTGGCACCCACTGAACCGTCAGCCATGTAGGGTCTGTTGAGATGACAAAATGATGCCAGAGGCTATAATTACTCATAGTAATGATTTTAAATGAGAGCTACCATTTATTAAATGAGTTGATATATGTAAAGCACTTATCGCAATGCAAGGGCATAATAAGTGCTCAATAAATATTAGCAATGATTATTACTTTGTGTCAGACACCATGCTAAGCCCCTCCTACTCAAGAGGCACCAGAGCCTCATGTCAGCAGCATAGACTAGAGCTAAACCACTTGGGCACAATGCCCACCTCACCACTTATGCAAATTATTTCTCTGTGCCTCAGTCTCCCTACATGTAAAATAGGCACAGTCACCGTACTGTCATCATTATGGAGTTACGGTTGAGTGAGTGAGCTCATGCAGAGAATAGCTCAATCCATGTTAGTTGTCCTTGTTGAATATGTGTTTCACTCATTTCTGCCTGGAATTTTCTTCCCAGCTCTTCATGTGACCAATTTTCTCATCCTTCAGGACCCAGTTGAAAGGATAGCCCTGCGGGGTGTACCAGGCCACTGTTAAACACAGACACCTCTCCCACCCCGGCCCCCTCACTCTCCAACCTCGTCACTGAGTTCATCTTTCTCACACTTATTTGTTGTGTTGTCTGCTCTTGTCCTAGGGTATGAGCACCAGGAGCACAGGTAACTTGTCTTCTTTGTCCACTGCTGTGCCCTCTGCTCCCAGCAAGGTGCCAGCACATAGTAAGTGCCCAATAAACGTTCGCGGAATGAACGGATAGCCTCACCACAACTTTGCTTTCTTCATTCCACAAAGATGCACTGAGCACACAGGGATGAATAAGACGCTCTGATAAGTCTTGTATTTTAGTAAAATGTTTAGTCTCCAGGCACGGATGTCGGGTATGGG